AGATTTGTAAACAGAGTGCGTCCCTCCGGGGACACAGGTCAATATTCCATGTGCAGTTAACATATCATAGAATCATAGAATTATACAGCACAGAAGGAGGCCTTTTGGTACATTGTGTCTGTGTCGGCTCTTTGAGAAGAGCTTTCCCAATCACTCCCACTCCCCCGCTCTCTCCCCATAGCCCTGCAAACTTGTCCTCCCCAAATAATTATCTGCTTCTCTCTTGAAAGTTGTTATTGAATCGGCTTCTTCCATCCTTTCAGGCAATGCATTCCAGACACTAAAAACGCTGTGCGGAAAAACCTCTCCTCTGTTTCTTTTAACTGTTATAAATCCTCGGGTTACGACCCACCCACCAGTGGAAATAGTTTCTCCCTTATATCTCAATCACCACCTGCTTTGGATTCTCTTAAACACAGCAATAGTTTCCGTGTGTGTCAGACACTCGGCTCAAGAAAGAGAGAGAGAATTGCAGTCACATTATAAAGTCCGCTCCTTGTGTACCTTTGTAGATCTCAGCAGCTTTGTCTATGGACATCACTGAGTGATTTGTGATTCTGTTCCTCAGCATAAATGAGACACATCTCACAGATCAATTTCTTATCCGTCTCACAGAACAGCTTCAGCTCTTCCCGATGATCGTCACAACGGTGTTCCCTTTCTCCCCGTTTCGGATCCAGACTGAGATTTTGAGCTTTTTCAGCCAAATTATCCATTGGTCGACCTGCTCTCAGCTCCCCTCCCGGACACACCTGGCGCCACTCCGGGCAGGAGTGAGCCTCCGGCCTCTCCCAAAGCCCTGCGAGACACGAGCGGCAGAAGCTGTGGCCGCAAACCAGAGAAACCGGACCCTTGACCAGGTCCGGGCAAACGGGGCAAGTGAGACCCTCCGCTGAGCTCCGGTGCTGCTCTCTGCAGCCGTGTCCCCTCCACCGCTCACTCCCACAAACTGCTGCCACTCTCAGCTTTGGGGCTGTGTCCAGACCCAGAGATCAGCAGAAGCCACTTGTTTGGGAGGTTTGTGGCTGTGACCCTCCCCCTGGGCCCGGATCAGAAGGTAATAATAATAACAATGATGACATTTCCCCAGAGGGAGGGGGTGAGACGGGGACGAGAGGAAGCGCCGCCTGTGCGGGGGTTTGTGTCGCTGACACTGAGCAGAAGGAACAGCAGCAATGGCGGTGCCCGGGAGCCACAATGCACTGCGCGGGTGAAAGCGCCCTATCTCTGTGATGGTGGCGGTGTATCACTGACAGTGCGGAGTGGCTGCAGCGCCACCTGTTGGTGACACAGCGTCACCGCGGCATCGAACCACATACCACACGAGGCAGCGCCACCCGTTGGTGACACAGCGTCACCGCGGGATATAACAGCACACAATGGCGGCCGCGGTATTCGGGTAACGTTGGACACCGGTTAATTCGGACACAAAGCGCCAGGTCCCGGTTGGGTTGTGCATTGACAGCTTCCGGTGCACAGGAAGGAACCAGTCATTTCCCCCGAAACAACAGGAAAGTCAACAAGTTACTGTTTATTACCTGTTTCCTGTCATCTCCTTCCCCGCCCTCCCTGCCCCGCCCTCTTTCTCACTCCCTCCTTCTCTCTCTGACTCTTTCTCTCACTCGCTCTCTCTCTGACTCTCACTCCCTCTCTCTGACTCTCTCTCACTCCCTCTCTCTCACTTCACTCAGTTGTTCGTCGATTGCCGGGTCACTTTTCCGGGGGAATTAATCCCTACAACAACAATAATAATTTAGTTGCTTCAATCCATGGCTGTTTGTGGGGACACTGCTGTGCACAATCGGCTGCTGCGCTTTGCCCACAAAATATACAGTCACATTCGCTTTAGAGTGTATCCTGTGAAGCCCTTTGAGATGTGTTGAATAAGTGTTAAGTGGTTATATCAAATGTATGGTTTATTGTTACTATTATTCTCTCTCTCTGTCTCTACATTACATATCAGATTGAGCTCTTGTCGAGCACGTGTTCGATACCCGAGTGGGGAGAAACCTGAGGCAACTTTCCTTACTGCACACGCCTCTGTTTACCAAGCAGTCAATAGGAACCAGTTTTAATCGCATTCTGGGGGGAATAATCCCTTAAAAAAGAATTTGGTCACTGAATCCATGACTGTGGAACACCTCTGTGCAATTGGTTGCCACGTTTTGCCCTCAAAATACAGTCAATTCACTTTACACAATATTGTCTGAAGCCCTTTGGGACATCTGGAAGATGTGATAAAGTGCTATATCAAATGTAAGAATTATTATAACAATCAGTTCTTGTCTCCTGTCACCCTCCTCGTCTGCTCTCTATCCAGGGCCCTTCCAGAAACTTCCCTCTGCTCCAGCCCTGGGCCTCCTCCACCCAGAGCACAAAACACTTGTCAATGATTGTCCCAGAGCAGCCACCCCGACTGCCCCATCATCAGCGCACCCCAAGGCCTGAATGTATTTCTGTGTCTGTAATAAAGTGTTACTGTGGGAGTTTAAATATTTTATTTTTCAGTCAATTGACTTTACATTATATCCTGTGAAGCACTTTGAGACGCCTCAAATCTGTGAAGTGCTAAATCAAATGCAACGATTATTATCTGAACTAATATAGAAAAAGGTCTGTCTGTTTGTCTGCTAAAAACACAACAACCGATTAACATGATTTATACCTCATTGGAAAGTTCTTGCAGTGTGGAGTGTCATGGGCATATTTTTTTCGGGGATCTCCTGTTGTTGATGAGCTTAAGCACCAAAATATGCGGTATGCACAGTATTCTGCAACAAAATCACACACCATTCTATATTCTGCAATAAAGTAGCAAAAGGAGTCCTCCCAACAAGGAGTCCTCCCACAGGAGTCCTCCGAACAAGGACTCTTCCCACTGAGTCTTCTCACTCATTCCTCTCAACAGGAGTCCTCCCAATAATTTTCTTAATATTAAAGATGCGGAAGCAAAGATCAAGCCTTTCAAGGACAAATAAAAATCCTATGAAAAGAGAGAAGGCGAATTAAACGAAACTGAAGAGCAAAGAACAACACAGTTGGACTTCGACACAGAAAGGTATGATCTCAAATCCTGTACATCATGGCTGGAGAAGGAAAAACTGCAAGTATCGTCTACATGGAAGTCTTGCAGTAACTCGAGGACCTACTGGATCACACTGTAAACCACGTTGTTTGGCATAGCTTAGATACGATCTTCTTTCGTTCATGAGCTATGACCCGTCGCACATGTATGGCAGTTTTGCTTAAGGTGTACACACAGTGCTTATGGCATGTTAAATGGTTTGTCAATGCTACCACTGAAGTCTCCATTAATAATAAAAAATACTTGCATTTGATATAGCGCTTTTCACGTCGGGAAGACGTCCCAAAGCGCTTCACAGAACACACTGTAAAGTGAATGGACTGCATATTTGTGGGCGAACGTGGCAGCCAATTTGCGGACAGCAATGTCCCACAAACAGTCATAGATTGAAAATGACCAATTTATTATTGTTTTTGGTTTTGGAGGGATTATTATTAGGCTCTGTGTGGAGTAAGGTTTCGCCCTCTGCCTGGAATTGAACTCAGGTCTCTCACTTGCAAAGCGAGTGCTCTAACCACTGAGCTACAGGACTCCGACTTCCATATTGGATCCTTTGGTTGCAAACAAATCTGTAATGGGCACAGTGCGTTATTAATATAAATTGGAGTTTAATATTTTTGAAGGAGTTTAAAATATTTTATTTTTCATACACAAACCGATCTGTTTAGGATTCAAACAAAATGATTTCAATAATAATTAAATAATTTGAAACCCCACTGTTGGTGGGACACCAACAGTGTAATTATCAGGCACTATATCAATTGCATTATTAATAATGGTATCTAGTGTTTCATTGTTTAATTAAATAAACAGATGAAAGGTATTAAAATGAATATAGTCATCAAAAGCGATCACAAAGGGAAAGCAATGATTGATTATTATTGATAAGACTAAACAAGTGAAGTTTGTTTAACCTGTAGTTGTGCTTAGATGGCGGGTGATGAGGGTTAGAGGGGCTCAGCCCCGCACCACTCCCCCAATCTATTACCATCACCTGTTTAAGGGGAGCTGGGAGGGGAAAATCCCGAGTCCTGAGGTGGACCACAGACAGTCCTTCCAAAGGTCCCAACACATGGTCCTCATGCTCATGAGTCAGTGAATGGCAGGGCCTCGGGAAACGGGAAACCACGGTAAACAGCGGAAGATGTGATCGGGGAGGGTTGAAGGTTTGGTCGATGAAAGCCGGGCGAGGTTGTCCGTGGGCGGGCACTGGTGGGGCAAGAAATTTCAAATCTCCCATCTGTACAACAGGTGGGAGAGACCACTGAGGCCACAGGTGGAGGAACGAGTGGTGGAGAGGGACCAGTGAGGCGAAGGTTCGGCAGCTTCAGGCGCGGAGGCGCCATTTCAAAATCCCCAGTGAACTCATTGCCGGACGTCACTTCCTGATCCCAACCACCAGCTCGGGTTGGCATTCCTAACATCACAGCCCCTTGAGATGTCCTGACGTGAAATGCGCTATGAAAATATAATTTGTTGCTCTTGGTGTGTGTCAGGGGGTGAGGGTTTAGGGGTATGTGTATCGGGGGGTGAGGGATAGGGTGTGTGTATCAGGGGGTGAGGGTTAGGGGTGTGTGAGTCAGGGGGTGAGGGTTAGGGGTGTGTGTCAGGGGGTGAGGGTTAGGGGTGTGTGTGTGTCGGGGTGAGGGTCAATGGTGTGTGTATCATGGGGTGAGGGTTAGGGGTGTGTGTATCAGGGGGTGAGGGTAAGGGTGTGTGTATCGGGGTGAGGGTTAGGGTGTGTGTATCGGGGTGAGGGTTAGAGTGTGTATCAGAGAATGAGGAGTGTGTGCAGATTGTGTTCAATCATTCGACATAAAATAATATCAAAACAAATTTATTGTAAATTGTTCGAGTATTTTGTAAGTGAATGACAATATTTTGGATATTAATATCCACACAGACGTGACCTCGGTTTAGTGAGGGTTAAAGATTGTTACAGTGAGTGAGAAATGTTACGGATTATAAAAGCTGTCACTGAAAATACACAGTGTTTATACACAGTGATACTCGGCCGCTCACTGGGGAACAACACGGCACCTGTTTATAGATATAAAAGTGATTTGGGAGATTTCAGTGAGATTCTGAGCACAGCCCCGACTGTGAGACTGGGCATTGCTGGAGAGAAAGATATCAGCGATATATATCCCTGTCTCAGAGCGTGAAGGCCAGTGAGGACGGTGCGGCTGCTCAGTGTGACAGGAGAGCTGACCCTGTGGGACGCTGCACAGGGAGGGCTCACGGAAATTTTACAACTATATTTGTTGTGGATCCCGGTTGGTCCAGTTGTGTATCCCGGACACCCGGAGTCCTGTAAGTCGGGGTTTACTGTATTGACACTGGAATGTGCAGGTGCGGTGTTGTGGCACAGTGTCAGTGTCAGCAGCTCAGTGTCGCTGACCACAGACGGCTTTCCCGGTTCGGGATACAATGTGGAGCTGACGTCTCTCAGGGATACCCCACTCAGCCCCGTCCTTCACTTCCCGTCACAAACTCAGCTCAAACCTGAGAGAGAAGTACAGAATCAAACACTCGGCACTATCCAAACCTCATGGAAATAATAGTCAAATTTTCCTCCTCATTAACCGTCACCGACAGATTGTCAGAGGGTCAGAACCAAACCAGGGATTGAACAGAGGATAAAGTTTCTCAGTGAAAGTTTGGGTGAAAGTGTGGAGATGAGACATGTTGTCAGCGTTGTAAAATGACACCTGTCCCTCCTCATAGTCCATGTAAACCCCGACCTTCCCGGGTCTCACTGTCAGGGACAGGCGGGTGCGGGGTGATGTCAGAGCCTCATAACAGTCCCCACCCACCAGCCTCACCCCCCAGACCCCATCCTCTGGTGACAATGTGATTGCTTGTTTCCTGTTGACAGACTCTGTGGCCAATCCCACAGCCCACCATGACTTGTTGCCCACCTGCACCTCCCAGTAATGTCTCCCCGATGTGAAGCCCTCAGATCCCAGGACAATGGGATAGTTACTAAACCTCTTCGGGGAGTCAGGGAGCGACTGCAGTTCGTCTCCGCGTCTCACACTGGTCAGGTCCTCAGACAGGATGAGCCGGGGATGGGCTGTGTCAGGATCCAGAGTGACTGTAACTGGAGGGAGAATCAGACCATTATTGTCGGACACCTTTACAATCATAAATAAGATGATCTTCAGCGTCGTCACCGGGAGAGAAGCCTTTGTGTAAAACATCGACATCTCCTGGGAACAGAATCCGCAAAAAGGCTGAGAGTCTGTGTGTCTGTGGGGGAGGGGTTTGTGTGGGGGGGAATGTGTGGGTGTGTGTGGGGGGGGATGTGAGGGTGTGTGAAGGGGGGGACGTGAGGGTGTGTGAGGGGGGGACGTAAGGGTGTGTGGGGGGGAAGGTGAAGGTGTGAGTATGTGGGAATGTCAGAGTGTTTGGGGCTGTGACGGTCTGTTTCGGGTCGGATGTGAAGGTGTGTGTGGGGGAAATGTGAGGTTGTGCGTTTGGGGGTTGGTGTGAGTCTGTGTTGGGTGGATGTGAGGGTGTGTGGAGAGGATGTGAGCGTGTGTGGGGGATGTGAATTTGGGTGGGGTGTGAGGGTATGTATCGGGGGGCTGAGGGTGCGTCCGTGGGAGGGATGTGAGGGTTGTTTGGGTGGGCGTATTTGAGGGTGTGTGTGGCGGGTGATGTGAGGGTGCATGTGGGGGTGCCATGTGAGGGTGTGTATAGGGGGGCAGTGTGAGGGTGTGTGTTGGGGGGGTGAGGGTACGTGTGGGGGAATGCGAGGGTGCATGTGGGGGGAATGTTAGCGTGTGTGTGGGGAATGTGAGGGTTTGTATGTGGGGGAAGTGAGGGTGTGTATGTGTGGGGTGGTGGTGTGAGGCTGAGTTGAAGGGATGTGAAGGTGTGTATGCGTGGATGGGAGATATGAGTGTGTGTGTGTGTGGGTGATGTGTGTGTGTGTGTGGGTGATGTGTGTGTGTGTATGTGTGGAGGGGATGTGAGGGTGTGTGTTGGAGTGGTGTGAGACTGTGTTGGGGGATGTGAGTGTTTGTGTGTGGGGGGGATGTGAAAGTCTGTGTGGGGGGACTGTGGCTGTGTGGGGGCGTCTGTGATGATGTGTTTCAGGACGGATGTGAAGGTGTCTGTGTGGGGGGAGATGTGAGGTTGTGTGTTTGGGGGTTGGTGTGAGTCTGTGTTGGGGGGATGTGATGGTGTGTTTGGGGGTGGATGTGACGGTGTGTATCTGGGGGTGGTATGAGGGTGTGTATGTGGTGGGGGGTGTATGAGTGTGTGGGGGAGGTGTGGGTGTGTGGGGAGGATGTGAGAGTGCTTATAGGGGGATGTGAGGGTGCATGTGGGGAGATGTAACGGTGTGTGTGAGGGGGATGCAAGGGTGTGTGTTTGTGGGGCAGAGTGTGTGTCTGTGGGGGGATGTGAGGGTGTGTGTGTGTGGGCGGGGGATATGAGTGTGTATGTGTTAGGGGGGGATGTGAGGATGTATGTGGTCAGAGAATGTGAGGATGTAGGTGCGGTGGGGATGTGAGGGTGTATGTTTGGGGGGATGAGAGGTTGTGTGGAGAGGTTGTGTGTGAGAGAGGGATGTGAGGGCGTGCGTGTGTGGGGGGCTGTGAGGGTGCGTGTGAGGGGGATGTGAGGGGGTGTATGTGTGGCGGGGGATATGAGTGGGTATGTGGTGGGGAATGTGATGGTGTGTGTGGAGGGGATGTGAGGGTGTGTGTTGCGGTGATGTGAGACTGTGTTGGGGGGATGTGAGTGTTTATGTGTGGGGGGGATGTGGGTGTGTGTGGGGCGGTGTGTCAGCGTGTGTGTTGGGGGCTGAGGGTGTGTCTGTTGGGGGATGTGATTGTGTTTGTGGGGGATGTGAGGGTGTGGAGTGGAGTCAGGAGAGCGCGGGGCGGAGCCGAGGCCGAGCAGTGGGTATAAAGCCGCGACGTGAGGGGGTCACAGGGGAACCGCAGAGTTACAATAAGTGACGTCGGCTTCACATCATAATTAAACAATCAAAACTAACACAGAATCACCAACACTAACAGCACTGACACCAACACTAACACTAACAGCACTGACACCAACACTAACACTAACAGCACTGACACCAACACTAACACTAACAGCACTGACACCAACACTCACACTAACAGCACTGACACCAACACTAACACTAACAGCACTGACACCAACACTAACACTAACAGCACTGACACCAACACTCACACTAACAGCACTGACACCAACACTAACACTAACAGCACTGACACCAACACTAACACTAACAGCACTGACACCAACACTAACACTGACGGCACTGACACCAACACTAACACTAACAGCACTGACACCAACACTAACAGCACTGACACCAACACTAACACTAACAGCACTGAACACCAACACTAACACTAACAGCACTGACACCAACACTAACACTAACAGCACTGACACCAACACTAACACTAACAGCACTGACACCAACACTGGCTGCCTGTCCCAGATCCCTCCATCTTGTCTTTGAATCCCTCCACTCCTCTGCCCCGACCTTTCTGACCTCTCTCCTCACAACAGTGCCCGTTGCCTTCGCTTCACCGGGTCTGGCCTCCTCCTTGTCCCCCGATTCCTCCGCTCCACCATTGGCAGCTGTGCCTTCAGCCACTATGCCCTGAGGCTCTGGAACTCCCTTCCTCACTCCCTTCGCCTTGTGCCCTCCCTTCCTGCTTTTAGGTCTCGGCTAAAGACCTTTCTTTTTGACCGTGCCTTTGGTCACCTTCTTCCCCCTCACTTGACACCAGGATCTGTTACTGTGAAGCGCTCTGAGACGCCATCCGGTATGGAGGGCACTATACAAATCCAAGTTGTTGTTTGTCAGGATGTGTCTGAGGGGCAGGTGAAGGTGTGTGTATGTGGAGGGGGAGGTGAGGATGTGTGTGGGGGATGTCCGTGTATGTTTTTGTGGGAGAGGGTGAGATTGTGTGTGTGAGGGTCTTTGTGGAGCGGTATCATCCAGAATTCTGCAGCTTGTGTCCTCTCCCAAACCCTGTCACCCCCACCCTCGCCCGGCTCCACTGACTCCCCATCCTCCACAGGAACGAGTTCAAAAATCTCATCTTCACCTTCAACGGCTTTGCTCCTTCCTACCTCTGTGAGAGTGCACTGATAGGATCGCACGGTTGGTAGACAGGTGGCAGATACAGATTGTTACCCTGTGGTCTGTCAAGGATTTCTGAATTTCACACTTTATATGATATTAAATATCTTACCTGCATAACTTCTGTACAACCCAAATTGGGTCTTTTCTGTAAAATAAAGGAAGTTCAGTTGGTATAGATTTATTTGATGAGGATGGTTTTATACGGTTTTGCCAGTCACATTTTCTCTGTTCCCCAAACTGCTTTATATTCCCCTCCTCGCTCCCGCTCCCCATTAATATATTTTAACATTTATTCGGGGAAAGGGGAGTGACAGAATGGCTCTTTATCAAACTGACCCAAATACCTTACCTAATTCTGTGAGAACCTCCTTGTAACCTGTAAGAAAGCAGAATGTTGTCAGCTGTTATCATTAAGACATGTAGCTGTGTGCCCTGTGTGGTCTGTGTGAGGTTTGGGTGTGGTGTAGTTGTGGTTTGGGTAGTACAGGTTTGGTGTAGGTGAGGTCTGGGTTTGATCTGTGTATGGCGTAGGTGAGGTCTGGGTGTGATTTGGGTGCGGTGTCCCTCTGGGAGAGACGATGTGGACTAATCTAGATCTTGAAACTGAGTGGACAGGTTGATTGATCGGGGGGGAGGGGGGTTAGTTATACATAAATATATGGGCTGCTGATCAGACAACAAGATCAGAGTTTGCTGTGGGCAAACACCATGTCACCATAATGTGGTCATCGTTAGTTGAAACACACTGATGTTCTGAGTCAAGAGGGACTCACACGAGGACATCACATGAGCATCCAGTCATGACAACTGACTGTTATTGGTCAGTAATCCGATTCCTTCACACAATATAAAGTCAGTATTTTACGACAGGTGACAGTGTGTACGACACCATGTAATGTAGTAAATACAGTAACAGTGTATGTAGTATTTGGTCTATCAGTACCTTCCACAGGTACAGTCACATACCATTCTCCAGTCACACACTAACAGCTGTTGTGCCCAGCGCCTGGGGCACAGGATTGGACTGACATCTCTACAACCTCAACATGGCATCACAGCTTCAGTGACCGTGCAGAGGGCGATGAGGAGGAGTCGGGCTCAGTGCTCACACTCACTGTGTCTGGTTCTAGTCTGTAGCTCTCTCAAGTGACTTGTTCATGTGAGAGTCTAGACAGCCAGTGTTGGTTGGTTATTCAACCATTGAGGGCCTCACAGCCTGATCCTCTCCTCACCCGGTATTTACAGAAAGGCTGGGATGGGAGTGGGGGAGGAATCCCTGAATGTTTTGAGGAACAGTGACTTTGGCTGATTGTCCATCCATATCCGGGCCCTGAGGCCATGTGTAGAGCCCCCTCCCTCCCCGACTGAGATCAGATACCTCAGCACAGACCAGGCTGGGACCTTCTGTCTGTACATCTTTGTGCTAAATCTGGGGTGGGATCTGAGCAGTTCTGAATTATGTCATTTATACTATATTAATGTCTTACCTGCATAACTGTGGATTCTGGACTTGACTGGAAATGAAAGAAAATTTAGTTTGAATCAACTTGTTCAATTGAGGTTGTTTTATACAGTTGTGTTTATGCGTCATTACACAATCATTTTCTTTATTGCACTAATATTCCAGAGTCCTGTAGCTCAGTGGTTAGAGCACTCGCCTTGGAAGAAAGAGAGGAACTGGGTTTGGTTCCTGGCAGCGTGAAACGTTGGGCAAGTTTCCTTACTCCACTTGCCTCTGTTTACCTCGCAGCAAGTAGGAACCCGATCGTTAGTCGATTAGTGGATCCCTTTCTGGGGGTAATAATTCCTTCCCCAAAAATAGTAATTTGGTCATTTATCCATGACTGTTTGTGGGACACTGCTGTCTGTGTGCAATTAGCAGCCGCGATTTGCCCAGAAAATATAGTCAATTCTCCTTGCAGTATATTCTGTGAAGCGCTTTGCGACGTCTCAACGAAGTGATGAAGCATTGTATTAAATCAAGTCTCTTACCAAACCCCACGAGAAGATCCTTGCAGCCTGAGAGAAAACACAAGTTTATCAGCTGGGCTCAGGAGCTCATTATCAGGGTGTCACTAACACAACTCGCAATGGTGAGCCCACTTGACACAACAGTCTCTGCTACACCCACCCCGTCCTGTCACACATACGGTATTTATTGGGATGCACATCTACAATGTGATGTGTGCACTTTACACAACTGGAAACTAGACTGAAAATTAGGTTATGAGTGATATTTTGCTAATCACTTAATGAATCTGCATTTTGCTGATAATTTCTACACATCGTCAATTAGAGCAACTTCCTCCGCACACTGACAACGCAGAGTCTCTAACCAGCCTGTAATGTGGGGTCTATAACCAGCCTGTAATGTGGGGTGTATAACCAGCCTGTAATGTGGGGTGTATAACCAGCCTGTAATGTGGGGTGTATAACCAGCCTGTAATGTGGGGTGTATAACCAGCCTGTAATGTGGGGTGTATAACCAGCCTGTAATGTGGGGTGTATAACCAGCCTGTAATGTGGGGTAACTTACATTTACAACTGCCAACGATCTCCCACTCTGGAAGGAAACAGAAGTTTTAATTTAATAAGATTTTGCTTATAATTTCATCTTTTGTAAACTTCAATGTATGTTATTCCTGACAATCTGTTGTTGGGATGTATCAAAAGATCAATAGGAAGTGGAAATAGTGGGGTAATCGGGTCACTTTGTAGGTCATTGGTGAGTCTGTACTTAGAGGATGATCTCACCAATGACACTGTGGAGTCCTGTAGCTCAGTGGTTGGAGCACTCCCCTTGCAAGCGAGAAACCTGGGTTCAATTCCCACAGGGAAAAACCATGGGCAAGTTTCCTTACTCCACACACCTGATAATAATCCCTCTAGAAAGGAAAATAATAATAAATTGGTCACTTCAATCCTCGACTGTTTGTGGGACGCTGCTGTACATAATTGACTGCAGCATTTCGCTCACAAATATACAGTAAATTCACTTTACTGTACATTGTGTGAAGCGCTTTGAGACGTCTAGAAGATGTGAAAAGCACTATATCAAATGCAAGGATTATTATTATTGAGTAGATTCTTTCAAACACAGATTAGAAATGTTCTTTTAGGAAATAACGTTATGGGATATAGTACACAGGTAGTTTGGGACATATTTGCATGTGACTGCCATGAAGGTGGAAGGCAAACTAGATGGATATTGGGCTTTTTNCCTCCAGCATTTCTTCTGTTCTACTGTAATCTATCGATGTAACTCAATATCTGGGTTCAGATCTCTCCAGGTTACAGGGTCTGACAAACTGATCACATTTGTAGATGTGAGATGACTGAACTGTACATTGAAAGTTCACGTCAAACTTTGCTTATAATCTTAATATAATCGTATTTCTTACATTTAATTTATTATCTTTATCAGAGTTGATAATAATTGATCCTTTGAGCAGCAGCACAATTCTACATCAATAACATCAACAACAGTAAATGAGGATAAAGCCATCAAGTACCTGATTTGGTGAATTGTTTTTNCAGTTCTGAAAGGAAACAATATATTTATTGATTGTTTATTTCCACAAATCACCCCCCACTGTTACACACTGAACCTATTCACAGTCTTGTGATTCAGCTGATAAACAACCCTTCAGCACTGAGGCTTCAGGATCTCACCAAATCCCAATCAGAGTTTGTTTTCACCAATTAAAAAAAACACATGGACTTAGTTTTGGTCAGAGTCTGACACACACACAAACCCATCACTGGGGTTAAGAGTCTCCAAACCAAACTATTCGGAGTTCCACAAACTGTGTGTAGAGTTTCCGTGTCTGTCTGATACAGAATGAACCCTCTCCCCAGCGCCATGCTCCCGGGTTTACTAATGTTTAGACATGGGTTGTCCAGAAGCAAGGCTTGTGGTCCACAGAGGATGGATTGAGGGGAATTGCTCATGTTTTTCCTGCTGAAACCTCACAGCTTATCATTATCCAAAGTTCTCACTAACCCCCTTTCCCACTGACCCTTCCCAGAATCATCCGGTTAAAACAAGGGGAGGCGCGATGAGAAGGAAACTTATTTCACGCTCCAGGAGATTAAAACTTACCCAGTGTTTTTTTCATGTATTTTTGGTCTAAAGGAAGAAACAAATATTAATAAGCAATGTAAAGTTTCTCACGAGACTGAAAGTCATTGAGTGAAGACGGTTTGAATGTTGAAGTCAGTCGTCATTGATTGATTCACTTATGGGACATCATCACTGATGGAATTCCATCATAAACACTTAGTGCCAATAACACAATGTACTGTACCTTGTTTGGCAGATTTCAGTTCATTATCTTTAAAACAAAAGAAAAGGTTTTAGAAAATATAATTTTAAATTTTTGAAAAAAAGTTAACAAACTTATCTGGTTTATTTTATTCAGTTTCTTTATTTTCCTTTAAGCTCAAACTTTCCAAACTCACTGTGATAGGAGGATACGTGCTCACATCAAATGAAGGAAATAAAATCAGTAAACAAACCAAATTATTTCACAATTTGTGTTATAATTCACATTAAGAATGGGGATTTTTGGCACTGTAGAAACTGACAAAACTGATTAAACATTTACAATCTCAAAAAGTGAATAATGATAATATTAATAATCCTTAACATTTGGTACATTACCCACAACAAACTCCAAACCCCGTCACTCCAGCCCTTGCCGGGCTCCACCGGCTCCCTATCACTGAACAGATCCATTTCAAGATCCTCACACTCACTGACAAATCACCTCATGTCCAGCACCTCCCTACCTCTCCGACCTGCTCACACCCCACTCCTCTACCCACCCCTTTATTTGGGCGGCTCTGGCTTTCTGCTCATCCCTGACTCCCCTCCGCCCCACCATTGGTGGCCATGTCTTCAACCACTTACCACCAAACACACAGAACTCCCTGTCTCAATCCCTCCATCTCACTCCCCACTCTTTTTTTTCATCGCACCTGAAGACCTTCCTCTTTAACCGTGTGTACGGTCACCTCCCCTTTCACCCTGACCCGGCGCATGGAGGCATTGTATCAATGTAAATTGTTTCAAGTCGCAGATGTAAATGTTCAATATTTTGGAACAGAATCTAACCGAATGGAATGCACATTCAGAGACTCGTTCACATCATGTTTTTTAATTCATTCATTGTATCAGAATGATTTAATTTGTGTTAAAGTGTAAGTTTCACTTTCTCTCTCCAGTCAAACACAGTGAGATTCTCCTCATCTGCACAGAATTGTCACGTTTCTTTATTCCATAGGAGGTGGGTTTAGTTCAGGTTGTTCTGTGATTCTGTGTGTGTGTGTTGTGTGCATATGTCTGTGTGTGTGTGTGCTTGTTGTCTGTATATGTCTGGGTATGTGTGTGTATATGTCTGGGTGTGTGTGTATATGTAAATGCTGAGGTCACCAGTGAGCACAGGAAGGGCTTGTGGCAGGTCTCCGAGGACCTGACTCTCGGGGAGGCTGAGGCTCGGGGATGTTTGTAATGTTGTTACTTACCCAGATTTTTAAATCCCTTTTTTAGATTTTCATAAACTGGAAAAGAAAGACACAATCGTTAGTGTCGTCCTTATCAGTAACTGTAGGACGTTTCCCCTAAATGTAATGGACACAATCCAGCAGAAATGTTAATACAATATTTTATTAAATATTAGTGAAAATAATAGTGCATTAAAGACTCTGCTTTAAGGTTATTTCTAATTGAAATCAGCTTTTCGGAAAGGAAAAGGGGAACAGAAGGAGACAATTCAGCCAACGAGCCTGTTCCACCAATTTTAATATTTTTAACCCTACTCCCTGCTCTTTACCCAAAGCCATTAATATTTCTACTATCCAAGTCTCTGTCTCTCATTTAAACATGACTTAATTCCCACATGGATGTGGATGGCCCCAAATCTACTCTCGACTGCAGGTCCCTGATGATCTGTCCAGTTGATTGTGAGATATCAAGGCCTGGATGAGCCGAAATTTCCTCCAACTCAGTATAGATCCCTCTTGGTGACATCATCCATAGACATGGAGTCAACTCCCACATATATGTGATGACACCAAACTCCACCTCGACTCCAGGATCACTGCTGTCCTCATAGAATGTCTGTCAGTCCTGGATGAGATCTAACTTTCTCCAGTTGACCAAGGCCGTCCTGCATTGCTCAGTGGCCTCATAACTCATGCACTGACAGCATCACCCTTCATGGCTGCACTCTACACATCATGGAGCCAATGTGGAAGCTCAGTGTCCTGTTCGTCTCTTAACAGACCTTCATCCCCCGGCTCCACATGACTCAAATGATACAGTTCAAGCTCCTGATCTTCACTTCACCTCCTCCGCTTTGCTCCTCCCTACCTCTGTGACCTCCTAAACTCCTACCAACCTGTCGCTCCCTCCACTCAGCATCCTCCGGCCTGCTTCATGTTCCCTGCTTTGCTCACCCCAACATTGGTGGGCGAGCCTTCAGCCTCTCTGGCCCCACCCTCTGGAACTCCATCCCACCTCACCCCTTCTCATGCCTCCTTCAAGATCCATCTGAATTTATTTGTTTAAATTTAAACATTCACATTGATTCCTTCTCCACAGATTTCTGGGGCAAAGAATTCCACATCTTCATATCCCTCTGTGTGAGCAAATCCTTCTGCAGTTTGGAAACGACAAGACACATTCTGATTAACATTTCCAGCCTTTTATCCCACAACTTCTCTTTATGTGTGAGAGACAATAGAGAATAATAACAATAAAATGACATTTATATTGCGCCTTTCACATTCAACAACAAAAATCAACAAAATACACCCGGCCACATCTTCCTTCTCATAACATAAACCTCCCCACCTGCTCCCTCAACAACCTCCCCCCCATCTGCTCACCAACCAATTGCCCTTCCTCTGCCCACTACTGGCCAACACAGTCACCCTGTCCCTCAACATCATCCACAGACATGGACTTAATTCCCACATGGATGTGGATGACCCAAAATTTACTCTCGACCCCAGGTCCCTGATGATCTGTCCAGTTGATTGTGAGATATCAAGGCCTGGATGAGCCAAAATTTCCTCGAACTCAGTATAGATCCCTCTTGGTGACATCATCCATAGACATGGAGTCAACTCCCACATGTATGTGATGACACCCAACTCCACCTCTCCACCTCGACTCCAGGATTGCTGCTGTCCTCACAGAATGTCTGTCAGACATCAAGTCCTGGATGAGAGCTAACTTTCTCCAGTTGACCAAGGCCGTCCTGCATTGCTCCTGTCAGTGCCTCCATAACTCGGGCGCTGACAGCATCACCCTTTATGGCTGCCCTCTACACATCATGGAGCCAAAGTGGAACCTCAGTGTCCTGCTCATCTCTCAACAGTCCTTCATCCCCCATATCGTTGCCATGACCCGCTTCGCTTTTCCTCACCTCCGCAACATTGCCCGGCTCTGCCACTTCTCTCGAGACCCTTATTCACACGTTCATCACATCCAGGCTCAACTACACAAACTCCCTGCTTGTCGGCCTCCACAACTCCTTCCTCCACAGGCTGCAGATTGTCCAGAAATCTGAAGTCTGTGTCCTCTCCTGCACCAGGCACCGCGACACTATCAACCTCATGATCGCCCGGCTCCGCATGCCTCAGAGGAGACAGTTCAAGCTCCTGATCCTCACCTCACCTCCTCGGCTTTGCGACTCCCTACCTCTGAACCTCCTAACCTCCTACCTACCTGTCCGCTCCCTCTACTCAGCATCCTCAAGCCTGCTTCATATTCCGTGCTTTGCCCACCCAAACATTGGTGGCGAGCCTTCAGCCTCTCTGCCCCCACCCTCTGGAACTCCATATCATCTCACCCCCTCTCATGCCTCCTTCAAGATCTGTCTCAATTTGTTTGTTTTGATAAAACTAAAGCCATCACCTTTGGCTCCTGCCAACACATCCTCTCTTCTGGCTCTGACCTCCTCAGCCTCCCCGGCCTCTCTCTCTAATTCTCTCAGTGACAACCATGGCATGTGGTTTGATCCCCAGCTTTCCTTTCTCCCTCACATGCATTGCCTCATCAAAACTGCCTTAATTCACACCCATCACATCAACGGCCGCTGCCCCTACCTCACACCCAACACCTCGGAAACCCTCATTCTCGCCTTTGTCACTGCCACTAAGACGTTGCCAGTGCTCTCCTCACTATGTTATGGATTATATAAAAGACGAAAGTAAAGATTATATTTTGGGGGAATCTCAAAATCATTTATTACCTTTAACTTTTTTCAATCGTTTTCTGCAGAAGAACATCAACACACCAACTGCTCCAAGCACAAGAGTGAACGCCACAAGGAAAACCACCAGCCAGTCTGGGCCTCGGTGGAAAAACACCTCTGTAACATAAGGAACATTTTGTATCATATTTAATAATAATCCTTTCATTCTTTAATTTGATATAGAACCTTATTACATTTTCATGAAGTCTCAAAGCGTTTCACAGGCATTACAGTGATATGTAGTGACTGTTTATTTGTATGCTAACATGGCAGCCAATTTTCTGCACACAATGTCCACCAACAGTTATGTAGTGAATGACAAATTTATCTGCAGGATTGTAGGCCAGGATACCTGGAGAAACTTCTTTCCCTTCATGAAAAGTGTCAGAGGATCTTTAAAATCCACCTGAACAGGAGCAGAAAAGTCCTCGGTTCAACGTCTCATCTGAAGGACAGCGTCTCCGACAATCGAGCTCAGGTCTCTCGCTTGCGAGGTGAGTGCTCTAACCACTGAGCTACAGGACTGCTGTATTTCAGTAATACATGAAATGCTGTCACTGTCCAGTGCCTTGGGATGTCCTCCCCACGTGAAAGGCGCTATACACATGTATCTTGTTGTTGTGTAATTAATTATTTGCAATTACAATAGCAAACTATCCTATAATGAAATTGGCTGAAAGAAAATCAGAATGAAAGCCTCAGATTGAACATTGGGAGCTGCTGTGGATTGTTCCACATCACAATATGAACTGTAATACGTTGCATTGAAGTGCTTATATTTTTGCAAATGTTTCACTGACCTGATACCTGGATCTTTGCCTCGTTTTCCTCCAGAAAGTTTCTTGTCAGACACGTGAATCTGTCTGTAGAATCGCTGGTTATATCAATACTACTTTCACATTTCCAACAGTCTTCAGACCTCTGAGTGCATGTTTCAGTCTTGGCTTTCACCTCTGCTCCACTCCTATCAAACCAAACTACACGAGGTTCGGGATACCAGCCTTTTGATTTACACGTGAGTTTAATTCTCGAGTCCTGGTAACCTGCCATGGAAATCAAGGGCAGCCGTCTGCGGTCTGTAACAGTAATACATTGTGTTATCAACAATTACAAAGGCAGAACTTTTGTAACAATTGATCAAATCAAAACATTCAGTACTTTACACCTAATTAGTCATTTGTAGTGACTGCTTTTGAAGGCTAAGGTTACAGTCATTTGCACCATCAAGTGAATGGCCAATTAATCTGCAATACACTACATTCTCCATCAGTTTATGGGATCTTTAATGTCCACCTGAACAGACAGGTACAAACTGTCAATTTTCACGTCTCACCAAACGTCAGCCTCTAACACTGAGTGTCCTTCAGTGACAGAGTGTGGTATCAGCCTGAACTATGAGCTCAGGTGCTGATGTGGGGCTTCAACCCACAACCCTCTAAACCAAACAACAAGAGTCCTTCCAATGAAATTGATATAGAGCCTAATCACGTCTTTGAGACGACTCAAAGCCCTTCACAGAATATACTGTACAGTGAATTGACTGAGTATTTTGTGGGTGTTACGCGGCAGCCAATTGCCCACATTGAGCCAGAATGACAAATCATTACTTTGTGCAGTTCACACGGGGCTCTGGTAGAGATTATGGTGCATTTCTGAGGCTGGAAAATATATTGACTGGGACGGGGTGGGAATATGAGCTTAGAATAGGGAAATGTACAGGTTAAACACAACAAACCTTCAACTTTCACAAGCACTGTTGTTTCATCAAAATCTACTGTGGATCTCACAGAACATGTGTATTCTCCTTGGTCTGAGCACCTCACGTTCTTCAGTCTGAGAGACACGTTTCCTCGAGTCATCCCGTCTCTAATGAGCTCGGTTCTTCCTCTGTAGGCTTCACGTTGCTGATCAGGTAGATCCACTCCACGTGTGTATAAATGCACCACATCCCCAGAATCAGATTTACTCCATTTAACATCCATCATATCTGCAGCCACTCCTGGGGTTAACCAACATCCCAGAGTGACATCGTTCCCCAGAGCTGTGAGGACAGGCTGACGTGGACCATTAACTATAAAAGAATCTAGTGAACAATACAATATCAATTATTCAACTATTATTATGATTTGTTTCTAATTAAGTGTAAAACTATGAGATCCAATAGTTTATTTGTGTCACTGTCACTGACAGGTTTAGTGTCTGGTTTCCTGAAGCCCTGAAAGTCTGAGATATGAACTGACCTGAGTCTGCACAGAAACTGTCTTATTACAGAAATATACTTTATTTGGAAATGTGCAGCAATGTTACCATTTAAAAGATGAATATAAATCACCAGTTTATAGTCTCATCAGTGGACACATTTCACACGATCACAAGAGAGGTTCAGATGAAGGAAGTCCTTCAGCCCATTTGACCTCATCTTCCCAGAATACTCACCTCCCATCTTCCCATCTCAGCTTCACCTGATACATTTACTCTCGGAGTTCAGTGCTGTGAACACGGACAGCTCACAACCTTTGCAAATATAGTTTGAAATACGGCTCCAGTGTAAACAGCCAGAATGTCCTCTCGTTCAGCTCATTAACACAGTCAGGAATTGTCATTTCTCTCAGAAATGAGATACAGTTGTTCACCACTGAACAACGGGAGGTGATCAGGAGAAGCTGGGAATAGACCAGGTTTGGTGAGGATCTTTCAGCCACAGTTATGGGCTGATAGACTGAGGGAAGTTGATAGAAGCAATACATTTCTGGGGCAGTTTCAGCTGCAGTGATAACAAGCTCCAGCTTCCAGTTACAGTGAGTGGATTCTTTATCAGAAACAAAACTATTCTCTACTTCGATAAGTGATCTAATATTTTAGTTGCCTCTGTAATAAATAGCAATGTTAATGTGAAAGTGATTAGGCAGAAAATGACAGTGTTGCTCACCAGAAAGTGAAGCCGGAATCTCAAACAGGAAAATTAGAATGAAAATCTTCTCCATCATCTGTCAGGACATCGAGCACTGAAACACGAGGAAATCAACAGACAATTCATAATAAATTAATAACACACAGTAACACCAGATCTGTGTCACAATCCAGATCAGCATTTGAATAAAGTGTTCTTCCAAACTTTTGGAATAAAGTAATTGCGCTGAAATAGGTGGAACAACAACAACAATTTGCATCTTTAACATCCACCTGACAGGCAGAGAGCATCACCTTCAACAATGTTGTGCTCCCGATCACCGCAGTGGAGTGTCATCCTACACTGTGAGCTCAAAGTCTTAATGAGGGGCTTGAAACCACAACCCTCTGACTCAGGCTCGGAGTCAGGCATCACCACTGTTAAATGCTCTGAGACGCTGCCCTGAGTGGAGGGTGATATATAAGTTGTTGTTGTTGTTTCGGCTAAACCAAGCCAGTGGGTTAACACTAAAAATAAAATGATTATTTTTAATCACAATAAACTTTTCACATCGGGGAACAATTTCTGACACTGATTTGCTTTTAACAGTAGAACCTTTTGCTGGTGCAGACTCTAAACTCACAGAGTCTCCGTCTGTTTGTCTGAGCTTCAACCCTCAGCCCTTGTCAAGGTGACCTCGGAGAATAATAATCCTGACATCTGATACAGCACCTTCTACATCCAGGGACGTCTCAAAGCGCTTCAGAGGAAACACTGTAAACACCAGTGACCTGACAGCAATCAGACTGGGGAAGGAACATGTTACGTGTAACTGCTGTAATGTGCTCCTGCCCTCCCCCTCCTCACAGCCGCTCCTTATTCACCCCAACATGGTGCAGGTCAGAGAGGAGCTCCCATTCCCTTCCCTCCTCACTTGCCTCCGATTCTCAGCGATTAAACCACAAACTGGGAATAAACTGACTGCAGAGCTCCCGCTTTACTACTGACACAAACCTGACAATAGAGAACATTTATTTCATATGTAAACTCCACATCACCACATGTGAAAGTGAAACCAGTGAATTCTGTAACTGGAATCGCAGTAAAGTTAAGGCATTATTTTAATGGTAAAATAATAGTTCATTTCAGGAAACAATTTCCGACACTGACCTGTTTAAGAGTTTGCATCGAATGAGAAGAATCTTCACTATTAACAGTACATTAAACCTGTGTCCGGAGGCTAATCCTGTGACTGAGCTGAATTACTAACCTCACACAGTGACTGAGCTCTGTTGCTAACCTCACACAGTGACTGAGCTCAGTTACTAACCTCACAGAGTGACTGAGCTCAGTTGCTAATCTCACAGTGACTGAGCTCAGTCACTAACCTCACACAGTGACTGAGCTCAGTTACTAACCTCACACAGTGACTGAGCTCAGTCACTAACCTCACACAGTGACAGGGGGTTGACTGGTTGTGTGTTTATTGCAGTGTATGGTTTGTGTTCGATGTCTCGGGGTGTTTTGTTAGTGTAATTATATCTGTTTACAGTGCACATTGGGGTGACATCTGTAAATGGAAGTGCCCCTTATCAGGGTGTGTGCAGTCACACATGTCTGTGGTGCACACGGGGCGTTTCCCGACTGTGCTTAATGGGGGCGTTCCCCCCAAGAAATGTGAGCACATCCCACAACGGGCAGCAGATCCCCGGGGGGGGGGGGGGGGGGGGAGCCTTGGTCCCTCCACCAAAGTGGAGTGCGCAATGGCAGCCCCTCCCCCCCAACCCCCCACCACAAGGGGTCGGGGCTGTCACGTCCCGTAATGGTACAATAACGTGTTGTGTTTCTTCATTCTCTTATGGCATTTGTTTCTTTTTGAGGAAAGTGTAAATATATATTCTATCAACAAAGAAATATATTTCTGGTTTAAAACAAGTCCGTGAGTTCAGCTGCTCTCAGCCTCACAGTCACTGAGACCAGTTTGGGATGTGACAGTACAGTTTATATTGACACAGCGCCTCATGTCGAGATGATGGCTCAAAGCGCTTCACAGAGCTGATGGGCACCTGAGGGGGGAATGGGAGCTGAGGGGGTGGGGAGGGGAGAGATGGGCAAAAGCAGAGCCGAAGGGTTTTGTTTCCGGACGGACAGAGGACCTCAAACCACTCTTTTTGAAATATTTCTTGTTTGTTTAATAATATACATTTACAAACTTTCTTGTGCAACTTTCTTGTCCCGATTCACAACAGTTTCCTTTCTCTTTCAACGGCTCTTTCAGCTTCAGCGATACACTTAAATTATAATATTTATATTGTATTGAATTCTATTGAATTCTGTGGCGTAAACGTGTCCGCACCGTCTCTCTATCTGTTCACTGTTCAACAGCATTTCCTTTTATAACTCAAACCCAAATCAACTTCAAACGCTATTGACATCCGGTCGTCACCACAGATAACCGACGCCATCTCCTCCTCCTCGTGTGAAGCTCTTCCTGCGGGAGGTAAGACAGCAGCTGCCGGGACTCGCTCCTCGAGCACTGTCCGCCCTTCCCGCACTTGTGTGGTGTGTGCGGTAAACCAGTGACCCCCAGGACCCGCTGTGTGTGGCGGCCACTGTGTCCCTTCACACACTTCCCGCCTGTGGCAGGTGGTCAGACCGCGGCTCTCAGGCCCAGAGCCGTGTCCGGAGCCACTGCCTCCCGTTCCCGCTGTGTGTGTCAGTCTGTGTGAGGGGCGGTGACGGCTCCGCTGTCCTGTCACAGCCTTTGTGCGGCTTCTCTGCCCAGTTTCCCGCCTTCAGCGGCTCCCACCGGTGTGTGGAGTGTGTGGTGTCGGTGTGCGGTCACTGTGTGTGTGTGTGTGTGTGTTGGGGTCCGGGGGGGGAGCGCGGGGTCGGTCCTCCGCTCCTCACTTACCGACTCTCGCGCTCTTCTCGGGTCCTGACGCCCAAAGCGCTGTCACGCGGTGTCGGCACATGCGCACTGTTCCCGCCGGTCCCCGTCTCGCGCGGCCCCGCCTTCCCGCGCGTGCGCGCTGTGTCCCGTCTCCAACCGTCACTCGGTCCCGCGCTCCCGCGCTTTCCCGCCGGGGACCAGACTCGGGAAGGTGCGCATGCGCGGGGGGAGGGCGGGAACATTCCAGAAGCGCCGAAGGGCAGAAACGCGCTCGAGCGACAGTCCCTCTGACACCTCCGCCCCAACTGGTGAGAATATGGTATAAAGTCACTATAGTCAACAGCAATGGCACATATACTGTTATATACATTACATATTCAGTGGGAAATCCTTTCATTGAAGATTCAATCAATTATTGTATAATATAATGACATCAAATACATTATTATTCTCTGTGACTATCAACAGCTTCACATCAAAGGGGTTTTCTACACCAACACCGACATTCCCAACTCGGCGGCCGTGTGGCCATGAGCCCCGGGGGGTGAGGGTCAGGGGGTGAGGGTCAGGGGGTGAGGGTCAGGGGGTGAGGGTCAGGGGGTGAGGGTCAGGGGGTGAGGGTTAGGGGTGTGTGTGTCAGGGGGTGAGGGTCAGGGGTGTGTGTGTCAGGGGTGAGGGTCAGGGGTGTGTGTGTCGGGGTGAGGGTCAGGGGTGTGTCGGGGGGTGAGGGTCAGGGGTGTGTGTGTCAGGGGATGAGGGTTAGGGGTGTGTGTCTGAGGGGTGAGGGTTAGGGGTGTGTGTTTGTGTGGGTGAGGGTAGGGGTGTGTCGGGGGGTGAGGGTTAGGGGTGTGTGTATCAGGGTGTGAGGGTCAGGGGTGTGTGTGTGTCAGGGTGTGAGGGTCAGGGGTGTGTGTGTGTCAGGGTGTGAGGGTCAGGGGTGTGTATGTCAGGCGTTGAGGGTTAGGGGTGTGTGTGTCAGGGTGAGGGTTAGGGGTGTGTGTATCAGGGGGTGAGGGTTGGGGGTGTGTGTATCAGAGGGTGAGGAGTGTGGTAAGATTGTGTTCAATCATTGGACATAAAATAATAACAAAACAAATTTATTGTAAATTGATTGAGTATTTTGTAAGTGAATGACAATATTTTGGATATTAATATCCACACAGTCGTGACCTCGGTTTATTGAAGGTTAAAGATTGTTACAGTGAGTGAGAAATGTTACGGATTATAAAATCCGTCACAGAAAATACACAGTGTTTATACACAGTGAGACGCGGCCGCTCACTGGGGAACAACACGGCACCTGTTTATAGATATAAAAGTGATTTGGGAGATTTCAGTGAGATTCTGAGCACAGCCCCGACTGTGAGACTGGGCATTGCTGGAGAGAAAGATATCAGCGATATATATCCCTGTCTCAGAGCGTGTGAGTCACACACTGGATGGCAAGTCAGATTCTCCCAACACGAGCACAGAGACGAGCTGGCGATGAGCTTTACACAGATGGCTCACGTTTTGCTCCCACACATTGGGTGTCAGGTTCCTCTGATGCTCTGAATGATGTTAATCCAGACGAGCTGTTGCGGTGCTGGTGCTGATTGTGCTGTCTGGCGGCTACAGTGGCTCATTACACTGAACCCCCGGCTCGAGGCCGGACCAATGGGGGAGATCCCGTCTGGAGAGCCGGAATTTCCAGCTGAATGTCATTCCAATGTCGGTCCCGGCATTGACTGCTTTATTGTAAAACACCAATAAATTGTAATTGTTTGAATCCCAGGAACAGGAGATAGTGAATCAGTGATTCAAACAATCTGAGTGACAGTGGGTATCCCCGGCCCCTGTGACGGCCAGTGAGGATGGTGAGGCTGCTCAGTGTGACAGGAGAGGGGAGCCCACGGGAGGACACACAGCGAAGGCCCACGGAAACCTTTTCAAAACTTATTTTGGTGTCGATCCCTATCGTCCTGGCACTGAATTCCAAATACCCAGAGTCCTGGGATCAGGATCCAGAGTCGGAGAGGCCGGAGCTGAGAGACAGAAACATTAGACAAAGAGGAGTGAGGGGATCGAGGAGCAGGACAGTTGCAGGCGGGAGTGCGGTTGGGGCACAGACAGTGTGTGGGCAGCGACTGCTCCTCAGGACAGAATGGGAGAATCTGTCAGCCCTGACAGACCGGCTTTAGTGATTTGATTCTTGTAACAGAGACAGTTCTCTATTCATTAGTTTTGTGAGATTTTTACATTCACCTGAATAGGCACATTATATTATAT